ATTGCAGGCACTTAAAAATAAACACCAGCTTCTTCACACTGTTTAGAGACATTGAAGAAGAAATATAGAGCTCATAATGCACGTGAGAATCAGATTCAGATACAATAGACATCAATTGTGACTTCTTGTCAGGTTTTCCGTTGTAAGCCTACAAGTTCCCTGACAGCCTTCCAATTACAGAAAGAAATTATAAAAAAACCCACCGAGCAGATGTGATTCTGTGCCCAGGGATTATTCTGTAACCCTGAAAGGTTGAACTGATACCACTTTAGCAAAAGGAAGCAGTGGGTGAGTGCCTATATGCTTTCTCACAAGTGACATCTGACAGGAAGTACCTCACTTGGTGTCCTCACCATTCTAGAGAGGATATTGAAAACTAATACAATCTCACACTTCTAAATTGGTCAAAATTGATGTCATCACCAACATAAAGACATTACAAAGTTGGATGAGCACTCATAAGTCCTAACTTCAAGGGTAAGACCATTACACAATGTAGATTCTGTAAGAGCAGACAGCAGACTTACTTGGACATCAGAGCTTAGTTTTCCAGTTTCCAGTTTCTTGCTCTTACTGTATGAACAAGACTGGATGCTTGTCTGTTATTTAGGACTTCTTATCTGTAGTGACCATAAAGGAAGTGAAAAGGTATAGTAAATTTTAAACTGGTTGCAGTTAGAGCCAAAATCGTATGAACTGCATCTTTGAGACTACATTACCAATTCAAACTTTCATGTTGGAATGGGAAGTTTTCCTTCAAGGTACAAATTACCCTCTCCAGCTTGGAGTAAATAGTTGGAAATTGCTGAAGAGTCTCTACTTCAGAATGGGGGGAAATGTGGTAATATGCATTGTGTAGGACGGGGGTTTATCTTTTATAGAAGTATCCGTACTGATGTTTCTAAGACTGACATGTTACACTCCAGAAGGAACATCCCTCGGTTGTCATCTTATAATTTTGATTAATTTGATGCTTACAGACACTGTTATGCTCTCCACTCTTCAATTAAACAAATGATCTCCTAAATGTAGCAAGCAGCCCCCATGCCTTTTTTTTTCCTTCTCCATAAGAACACTTCTACTGAACATGAAAGCAAGATTTACACGAGAAAATCTTTGCCCTGAGAGTGAATGCTGTGGTTTGATATCTCTGCCAAGACTCCAGGCTTCTCAAAAGCTTAGTTATAAGCATGTAGAATTCTCAGCTAAGAGTTCCATAGCATAGTAAGTGCTTGTAATCATTTATAAACTGGAATTAGAGTTGTAGAGTGATTTCTAATGCTATAATGCTTGTAATGCTGGAAATAGTACTTTCATACGGTGTGCCATATGCTTAATTTTTAATTAAGACACAACTAGCCAAAACACTAGCTATCATGCCTAAATCCACCCCCCCCCCCCCCAGTGATGCCAAATCTGTAAAATCATGAACTGATGAAAGTAGTTGAAAATAATGTCAAAATGTCAAAACACTCAGGACTAGACTTGAGCTCTGAAGTTTAACACAAGTAAAGTTCTGATCCTCAGTCCTTCTGTGGTGATATGCAAATTTTTGGGTAAGGAATACAGCAGCTCTATACTTCATGTTGAACTTTCCATGCAAGAAGAAAACACCTCTCATGCTGTCCCATTGCAGACACAGAGAGCATGAAACTTTTATCTTTCTTACAGAAACACGTGTGAAGGAGAACTGGAGAAGCCATCTCACTGAGTGACAACCATTAACGATTCCTTTATAGTCATATTTCTGTTTCCGTGCTCTTAAACAAAAATAAATAAATAAAATAAATAATAAATAAATAAATAAACTTGTCACAAGAGAAGCCCACTTTTTCCATGATATTTATGCCACAGACTGTATGCAAGTCATGTGAATGATGGAATATAGCAAAGTGCAAAGTCATTTACATTACATTTACGTTAAACAACATCCTAGGCCAAGTCTTCCCTGACCTACTCAAACAAATAATTCTCTTGTATACAGGAATCATGATTTGTCTCATTTTTGAGTGTCTGTTGATAGCAGTGGCTGGGCTAGAAAGTATTTTGTTTTTCTTAGCTTACTTTTTGTATTTATCTGTGTATATATGTGTGTATGTGTACAATAATGCATGAAAAGATAAGGCAAATTTACGACAAAGGCTAATATTTGAAAAGATTTGCTTTGGACTGTTAAAACCTACCCATATTAGGATATCATATACCTATGAGAAAGACAATTTTTACTACCCTCATGAGTAATTGGTCAGAAAACAAGAATGGCTTACGTTTAATAGAAAGAAGAGAGTTAAATGGTTTGAATGACTGTACCTATTGTCAACATAAAATGAGGATAAATGGAATAGACTGCTAATTTTTTATATAGAGACATTGTAATGCTAACTAAGCATTCATGAAGAATGACCTTACTGTGATAGGACTTTCTTATCATGTAGATTCTATATCAGTGGTTATCACTGTGTGGTCGCTGTTCTACAATTTCTTCTTTTTTATCGTATGAGGAAGACTTGACGTTTGAAAAGATGTGTGATATTGTTAGCTTTGTGGCTATGAAAATATTTTCAGTCAAGGCAGCACAGGTAAAAGGGCTGCTGGGAAAGCATCAGGGAGGGATGTCTTTGCTCCACAGCTGCTGGCAGAAACTGATTATTGAAACAGAGTTGCTCCCTGGAAGTGTGTGCCAGCTTCTAGTAGCTGGAAAGAGTGATAATTACTGTAGGATTGTCTGTGAAAAATGAAATTTTATCAGTAGATAAAGGAATTATAAAGGTACTGTATGCATTGCTATCACAATACTAATTTCTTACCCTCTTGGGAAACTAATGAGTGAAAGGCTTTGAACTGCCCCTGTTGTTCACAGGGGAGGTCATACGAGGCAGGTTTTGCAGGTTAAGTCCTTTATACTGTTTTCTGGAAGAAGAGGAGTTGTAATGTGGGGAAACCTTGCTGCAGACCCAAATTTTCTTTCAACTGTCTTTTGATTTGAGTTCCAAACCTTGAGGGTTTTCATATGAATTAGTGGAAACAATTTAAAAGATCTTGTATCTTCAGTAGAATTCCTTATTATGGTATTCTAATGTATTTTCTCCCTACTCAATGGAACAATCTCAGGTGTCCATCTCAGGTGGAATTTCAACTTCCATTTTTATCATAGGAATACGGTTAAAATCAATATGATGATTAATTTTATTACTTTGTTCTTTTATTTGATGCATCTATACACAACCTCCAGATACACTTAAAACAGATATAAATTAAGCATCAAAGTTAACTAGCACAACATGTGAGCAAGTAAAAGCTAAAAGACTAAAAGCACCCCCCATGTTCTCTGGTCTCCTCAATAATGCTCTGGAAATGATCTGGTTAAACAACTAATTATCCTCAAAGCATCTTCTGAAGCTGACTAAACTTGGTCTTTGCCAGGGAAAGGGACTTTGAATGGTGTATCCTCCAAAACATGAGGCAGCTGTATGAGGATGCCCCTGAGCTGTGGTACCTGTATCCTGACAGCAAGCTATGGAGAAAGAGAGCATGCGTCACTCCTCCCCTAGTGCCTACTGTGGTTTCCATTGGAAGAAAACCTGTAGGAAGCTCGAGAAAGAATCCATGGTGGCATCTACCTGGATTTGTGTAAAGCATTTGACACTACCACACAACATCTTTGTCTCTAAATTGGAGAGACATCAGTTTGATAGGTGGACCACTCAGTGGATAAAGAACTAGCTGGATGGCCGCACACAAAGAGTTGTGGTCAATGGCTCAATGTCCGACTGGAGACCAGTAACGAGTGGTGTCCCTCAGGGATCTGTGTTGGGACCGGTCTTGTTCAACATCTTCGTCACTGACATGGACAGTGGGATTGAGTGCGCCCTCAGCAAGTTTGCCGATGACACCAAGCTGTGTGGTTCGGTTGATATGCTGGAGGGAAGGAATGCCATCCAGAGGGACCTTGACACGCTTGTGAGGTGGGCTGATGCCAACCTCATGAAGTTTAACCATGCCAAGTGCAAGGTCCTACACCTGGGTCGGAGCAATCCCAGGCACAGCTACAGGTTGGGCAGAGAAGAGATTCAGAGCAGCCCTGTGGAGAAGGACTTGGGGGTGCTGGTTGATGAGAAAATGAATATGAGCCAGCAGTGTGCGCTTGCAGCCCAGAAAGGCAACTGTATCCTGGGCTGCATCAAAAGGAGTGTGACCAGCAGGTCAAAGGAGGTGATCCTGCCCCTCTACTCTGCTCTCGTGAGACCTCACTTGGAGTACTGTGTGCAGTTCTGGTGTCCTCAACATAAAAAGGACATGGAACTGTTGGAAGAAGTCCAGAGGAGGGCCACGAGGATGATCAGGGGACTGGAGCACCTCCTGTATGAAGACAGGCTGAGAAAGCTGGGGCTGTTCAGCCTGGAGAAGAGAAGGCTGTGTGGAGACCTCATAGCAGCCTTCCAGTATCTGAAGGGGGCCTATAGGGATGGTGGGGAAGGACTCTTCATTAGGGACTGTAGTGATAGGACAAGGGGTAACGGGTTCAAACTTAAACAGGGCAAGTTTAGATTGGATATAAGGAGGAAATTCTTTCCTGTGAGGGTGGTGAGGCACTGGAATAGGTTGCCCAGGGAGGTTGTGAATGCTCCATCCCTGGCAGTGTTCAAGTCCAGGTTGTACGAATCCTTGGGTGATATGGTTTAGTGTGAGGTGTCCCTGCCCATGGCAGGAGGGTTGGAACTTTATGATCTTAAGGTCCTTTCCAACCCTAACTATTCTATGATTGTATGCTCATCAGTGCCCTCATCTGGACATTGAGGAACTGAGATCTTAGGACACAGCAAAGAAGGTACTATGTTTGCCCCATAGTTCATGTGTAGCACCAGAGTCCTCTGGCTGATGAATGACAAGGCTGAAAATTCCTAATACTGGATTTGGACTGGAGAAGTGAATTTGGAAGCAAATGGAATTTGTGCAACATGGGAGATTTGTGGCCCTAGGGGAAAAAACATACATGCAACTTCCTGAGATCTGAGTTAAGCATGGAGTGACAGCACTTGAGGAATTGTAGCAAAGTCCACATCTCCAAGAGAGGCTTTTAACTCCTTAGCCAACTGGATAGTCAGAAACAGCCCTGGCTGCTGCTGCTAGCAATCACATCCTGAAGCAATGTGGTATTCAAGTAGGAGACTTTATATTGGGGGTCACATTCTTGAGGAAATGCAAAACAGCTCCCTCATGTCTTCTGCACTCGGGAACTGATGAGTCATCCTTGCTGCAGAGAGTTATGCACTGAGCAGAGACAGGATTTTTCAGTGCATTTAGTATGGACTTGATAACTCTCTTATTGTTGTCATGCAGAACAGAAGCTTCATCTTTTAAGTCTATGGTGCCTAAACTGAATGGCCTTTAGTGTTAGTCTTTAAATCTTTTAATGTAGTGATTAAACATGACAGGGATTAAGTCGCTGTCCAATAACAGCCTACTTGGGTGCCTTGTTGGTTGGATGCAAAGCACAAAGCCAAATGCTCTTAAGCACCCAAGCATGTTGCTGTTTCAAAGCATAGCAAGCCCCATCATGTCTGGTGATTAGTAAACATTTCTTTTTTAGTGATGATAGTGTGGAGCAAAAAGCTGACAAAAAGAAAGTTTTCTAGATCAACAAAATATATTGTGGACAAAGGTTAGAACAAAAATTGAGAGGTTTTATCCTAGGTTTTAAATATATGTATGGCATGATTTAGATATACTTACAAGGCATCTAGTCTAATGGAAAAAGAACTTGCAAATTCATGATTTCCTCAAGTATCCAGGCATGAGACTAAATTATGCATGCAAGGTAAATCAAATAGAGTTTGACACAAAACCCATTAACTAATAAAACCATTCTTTTAGTTGCCAAGTTGCCTAAAAATCTCCGAGGAAATGTCAGAAGGAAGGTGCCTGTGTGAGCCATGGAGCCTTTAATTATATCAGCACACAGCATATTATTCTTGCAGGATTTTTGAAAGAATTGGTATGTTTTTTTCTCCTCCTCATTTTGTGTGGGTCTTAAGGTTAACATACAGTTCATGCATGATTTAAACACTGTTCTGGAGACAATGTCCTTTGCTGGCTCCCTGGCCTTTTCCTATGATGCTAATTACTATAGCAACTGCGTGCTTCACATGGCTTTATTTTCATAACATCTGAAAGAGATGAATAGGTAACATTACTGTGCTTTACAGATTACAATAGAAAATTTGAGCTGAAGAAATTAAGTAAGTTTGTTCATTTATTGAGGAAAAATTCCATTGCAAGAAAATTAAATTCTTCATTGATGGGTTTGCCTTTCAGTTGGAAACCCCTCTGGGAAGTGTGATTGTGTCACTGGAAATGTGATGTTTTTGCTTCTTCCTCCAGAAAAATAAAATAAAAATGTTTTTCTTCCATGTGCTTGAATTTAAGAGAACCACATTTGGGGGTTTTGTACTGCTCCAAATATTTCATTTGAAATCTCTTCTTTTAAAAAAGAAGAAAACACAATCAGCTGGGCGGAGTCCTTGGTGGGTTGTATCTCCTAATGCATATTCTCTGTACAGGGGTTAGATGATGCTATGTGCCATGAGAGATGTAATCAACATCTGGAACCTGGGTTTCTAAAAAGCAAAGACGTCACATGGATTTATCATACTATTGATACCTGCAGACATGCCAACAGCCAGGATGAAAACATTTTTCCCTGCAGCACTGGTGCCAGGTATGCTATGAAGAAGGTGGTAGAGAGCTGCCCTGTGTGGGGTGGCTGAGGCCTTTGGGAGAGCTGGGATGCTCAGTCAGAAACTTCCATAGATATCTGTGGGCAGAAAAGACAAAAAAAAGGAGAGCCTCAATACTTCTCAGCACAGAAGCTTTTGCTTTAATCATTCTACTTTTTCTTTGCACGCTGCTTTGCACCTCTCACTCTTTCCTGGTGTATGTCCTTGTGTTTCTCCACATTCCTGGTTTTCCCCAGGCTTCTACGCTTGTACTGTTTTTTATTTATGCATTGCTCTTCCTACTGCCTTGCTGAACACTAGTCCTTGCTTTGCTCTTTCATGCTTTCACTACTCAGCCAGTCCCAGTTTTCCTTTTCTACTCCCCCTGCATCTTGTTTTCCTCATGGTCTTGCCAGCCTCCAAACCTGTTCATTCCCCATTTTGCCCTCCTGATCTTCTTTGCCTGTTCCAGCCCTCTCCAGCTGCTGGTTCTCACCTGCTCCCTGTCTCCCCCAGACCCTGCCAGATGCTGATCCTCATCCACTCCATGTCTCAATCAGGTGTCTTCTTACATGGTGCGTGGATGGCATGTTTCTCTTCAGTTTTGGCCACCGCTCAGCCTGAAGCGTCCCAGCCCTGTGGGCTAAAAGGATCAAATCTGGCATGTGACAGCACCGTCAGTCACTTGGAGGAGAACTTTCTGAGGCTGGAGGGGCTGTGGACATTGGTAAGGCTGCTCATGGATGAGCAAGATGTTTAAAACAGGATTATTGAGCAGGATGTGGGGGGCTGTGGGGAGATCAAGGGAGAGAGTGGGGGGGCTGAGATTGGAGATCACCACATTCCTTCAAGTTGGCCTTTTAGACAGCTTACTGCCGGCTCCTCTCCAGGGTTTGCTCTTTCTGTTCCATCTGAGGGAGCAGGATTTAATTCAGGGAGTGGCAGCTGGACACGGTCAAAGTCCCTGGCATGTCTGCATGACCCAGCCACCAGCACCTGCCTCCTTCCTTCTCCCTGACATGGCACCCTCCACACACAGGGCTGTCTCCTCTCTTGGGCAGAAAGGCAGAGTGAGGTGGATGCTGTTTTGACCCTGCTCTCTTCTTTTTGATGCATGTGATGTGATTTGGCTAGGATTTTGTGGGGAGGAGGAAAGGATGCTCTAGCTCTTCACAAAAGCCCTTTGCACGGCTGGAGGAAAGCCACCTTCCAACTGGGAGAGATTTTTCTACAAGGGAAATTATTTGAAGCAATGTGGTGAGAGCTGTCTTTCAGCTGCCTAACCCTAATTTTGAAGTTGTCTGAGGAGGGCAAAGGAGCAGGGAACTGGTTCATAAACAGAAGAAAAAGCGCACTGAAACTGAAGAGGCTGTGCCATAATGAGGAAAGACACCATCTACATGGCAAAGAAACTGTAGTCTACTTACTGCTGGACTTACCTCTGAAAACTGTTCATCTGTATGGGTAGTACAACTGAGTTAAGTTTAAGGAAACAAAGACTTTGCCCAAAGGTATTCTCCATCCCAGCAAATGAACTGAAAATGTAAAACATATGGGGCAATCTGATTTTTAACAATAGTTTAAAAAAAAAACCAAACACAACCAAAGCTTTTACTCTGTATTTTAAAGAGTTTCAAGGACAGCAAAAATCACTGGCATGACTTAGCTGTATCCGGAGAGCTGATGCAATCCATATCAGCAGGGAATTGCTTAACACATCTGGGCAGAGTTCCTGCTGGTGGCGTCTACTGGACGTCTCTGCAGTGTAATAGTGTAACAGGCAATATGCGGGTGTTTCTGGGGCCCCTGCTCTACATTCCTCTCTTTAAGCCCGTCATTTCTGTTTCCTTCTGTTTCCCTTATTTGCTGATGGTCACCAGCTGGGTCCTGACTTTGGGTCTGGGCTGTGCTACCACATGAGCATGCACATTTGAGTCCATGGTGCCTCAGGCCCCCAGAAAATAGAGGTAGAAGTGGTAGAGTCCTTTCTGGTTGCTTCAGTTGGTGTATTTTGCTTTTTTTTTTTTTTTTTCCTTTTTTTTTTAAATTTCCTTTGGGATGAGAGGTTCCCAAAAGACGATTTAAGTCCCTATGTGCTGAGTTTCTCAGGCAAAATAATCATGAGCATTGAAAACAGAAGTTCATCTCTCATACCTTCTGTGGAGAGAAGCAGCAGGTGAAGACAGTGGATGCCTTAGACACAGCTGCAGTGATGGTCATTTCAGTAAGCAAAGGTCCCAGAAAGCCTATAAGCTTATAAAATCCCTTTTTAGCTGAAATAAATCCCTGCAGCTTCCCTCTCACAGCTGACCAGAGATTTACTCAGTTTACACGCAGTTTAGGATACTCCCAAAGCACTTACAGCCTCTTCTGAACTCCTCCACACTCCTGCTAAGTGTTCATGCAATCCAAAAAGAGTTTGTATCTTTATCCTTTCAAATATCACTGTTGCTGAGGGGAAATCCCTGCTGCTTCATCTTTGCTGCTCTCCCCCTTGATAGTGGGTATTAGGCTTGACCGCAGCTGACTTTGCTGTTTCACTCCCTGCAACTGGGTGCCAAGCACTATACAGTGACGCAGCAGCTTTTCCCCCCTTCCCTCCATTTCCCCTGGCTGCTGCTGCTGCTTCCTCAAAGTCCCAGGGCTGCAGTTTCTGGCCAGTGCAGGGAGGTGATAAAGCTTTGAACTTTTGCTGTGGGCTGGCTATTTGCAGCAGGTCTGAAGGATGCAGCGAGGTAAAGGAGCAGGCAAGGGGCTGAGGAGCCAGATGGAAGGTGCCAGACTCACCGTATTTCCCTCCATTTTTTTTAGCCAGCAGTACATCCTTCCAGGTCTGGCACCACAGCTGGCCTGGCTGCAGGCACTGGGAAGCTCGAGCCTTCTTCTTGATTTTTGTTTGTATTTATTTAACCATTTTAAGCAGTTTTGTAGGAATGGAGCTGTAAGATTTTTTCTAAAGAGCATGGACTTTCTTTTTCAGAGCTGAATTCTTTGCTGTCAAAATATGTACATAACCTTGAGATTCCAAAAGCCTTTTCTAAGACCTGTGGATGGGCTATACGTGATTCTCTCACAAACTGTCACTTTACAGCACTTCTCTTTCTTCTGCTGGAACTTAATGAACCTCACCAAGACTCAGGGGTGAACCAATTCAGTGTTTACCAATATTCTGCACTGGTAAAATAATACAAACCCACCCTTTTTTTGTGGAAGGAAATCATTGTGGAAAAGATGTAAGGATATATATTCATGCGTGCATGTGTGCACACATGCTGGTTTTGACTCCGAAATGGAAGTGATGTCAAGTAACATTGACAAAATGCAAGCATATGTTTTACTTCCATCAGGCTTTTTCGTGAACCTAAAGCACTGTCACAGGACTCTACTGATTGTTGATTTAAAAAAATGCAATGTAGTTACAATCCCATTGAAATTCCTCTGAATTTTAATGGATACAAACTATTAAAACAGTGAATAAAACCTAAATCACCTTGCTTTTCTCTTGCCTATTTGAAATCTTGTTTATTACTAATATCTCGATTCTTTGGGCCAGTCTGAAGTGCTGACACTAAACTTCAATATTTTTGCAGACTAGAAAACAAAAAAATCCTGTGTTAGCTTGGACAACTTGCATTCCACTTTAATTGGTGCATTATAATTTTCCCTCTTCGCATTTTCCCTCTGGTTTTCAAAAGTACTTTTTAGTTTCTCCAAATCACTTTGTAAATTTACATTCTGGCTCAGCTAGTCTGTTTTTCTGTTTTAGAAAAGTCAAGTTGGCTTGGCAAAGCAAATTAATTTCCTTCAGATGAGAGGAGTTTCACTGAAGTCTCAGTTTGCAAAGATGCACAGTCCCCTAACTGCTAAGCTGCATCTACTGACACAGATGCAAAGTTGTCCAGCTGGAGGAGTTGGTACTTGTAAAGGCATGGGTATTGAAGAAAGTTTTTCCCCACCCTGCGTTACCTGTATATCCAAGGCCAACTCCAAGTCTCTGGGTGGGGTGCCTGCAGGGCACACCAAAGGATGAGCAGTGATGGAAGGGATCATACCTCTGCTTTTTCTTTCATGTTTCACATGTATGCTCACACTCTGCCACAATTGTTTTGGCCTTCCCTGGATTAAGTTTGTAACCCAAGCTGCCTGACTCAGCTGAACTTCAAAAGACGCAGGAATGTACTTCATCTGGTTACAGGGAGCCGGTTACAGAACCAAGTGATATGAGAGCACCTTTGCAATTCCAGCTGATGCCATAGCAGAGGCTGAAAATATGAGACTCATCTTGTTCCATTTTTTTGTTTTGTATTTACAGTCTATCCCACTGGTGTCATCAGAGAAGCTTGAGCTGGAAATGATCACATAAACAAGCATGTCCCTTTTACTTCATTGAGTTTCATAATCTGTTCATAAAGACTTTTGACTTTACAGGTTTTTGCACTGAAATCCTTGTATCCATCTCTGATTATCTTGAGAAGTCTTATGCAGACACAGAACTAGACTACGAAAGGTCTCTGAGTATTTCAGCTGCTTAATATTCCCCACAGAGTGCTGGACAGCAAAATATCTCTGTATGTATTTAAATGTTAACCATTCTAAGCACTGCTTTACAGCTGATATTGCTTATTGCAAAACCTCATCAACTTTGTGGTAATTGTCTGTGTACCAGAACAGATCGGATTGGTGGTGTTCTCAGTCATATTTGTTTCTGTCAGTATAAGTTGAGGGACTGAAGGAAAGAGGTGTGTGAAATTCTTCCCAGGCTGTACTTGACTGTTTTCCTTTGCTGCCATGCTTGGCTCTCCCCTTTGGCTGTGCTCAGAGGAAGAGCCTATGTGCAGAAATTAGGAAAATCTGAGAGAGTACACAGCCCTCAAAACAGTAGCTTGGCCTTTATGGAAGAAAGAACTTGTTGCAAGTAATGATTTATATGTATTTAAGAGAAAGGAAAACTAGTTGCAAATGAATTGCATATGTAATTGAATTTCAAGTTACTAAGCAAAAAGAAACATATAATGCATTGATAGAGGCATCAGGTAAATCTTTTCGCCTGGGCTTTTGGAAAACGCTGCTTGAGAAAACATTGGTAGTGTAAAAACTTATGTCATACTTAACTCTGCAGAGTGACTGTTTAACTTCACTAGCTGGGGAGAATGCTGCATTAGATCAGGTGAGGGAAGTGGAGGTAAAATAACACAAAAATAAGAACTGTGGGGCAGAACTAATGGTAGAAACTGCCATCTGCGCATACAAATAAATATCTGTTACATTTTAAATTCAAGTCATAGCAGTCTTAGAACCTTTGCTGCTTTGGAAAAGAGAACATCCCTTCCATGCTGAAACAAGCAACAAGTTGGAACATTTTTGAAATACTGAAAATATGTGTGTGTTTTATACCATCTCTTTTCAGTTACAAATCTTTGTTCCTAGGTTAGGTGTTTGGCACCTCTTGAGTCCCTCAGTAGAGAGCAGAGAGAGAGACACTCCTGTTTGACACCTCCAAAAGTGATAAATCACCCCTGTTTGTTCATAAAATCCCTGAGAGCACCACAGTGGGCCTTACTAAAACTTTAACAGAGTAAGCTGAAAGAAGTAGGATATTGTGCATATGCCAAAACTGGTCATATTTTTTAATTTCATAACTTCAAAAAAAAAAAAAAAACCCCAAAAAAGTTTCACTTTTGGTCAAGCCACTAGGAAAAAAATAAATGAGTGTATCAGTTCGTACTTTGTGTTTCAATAACAGCAACAACACAGGAAAGCTGTCAATAAAAGCAATAAATCAAGTGAGTAGGCGTTACCGTGTGTGATTATACAGGAGTGAAAATGAGACTGATTAGGGGAATACAGGGTATCTTTGTTCCTCAGTAGGATCAAAGACGCCATCTCCACTTCTCACTCAAGATAGTTGGTATGTCCTGCTGCCCTCAGTGCTTCTGGGGTTACTCACGACTTTTCTGCTTTGCACAGGCAGTGAAATTTTCTCTCAGAGGCTTGTGTCAGTTTAATAGTCTTTCTGGAAAAGCACTGTACTCAGACCTTCTTTCTGTTTCCCCTGCTAGTTTCCAAGTGGGAAAATTGCTATCTGAAAGTTTGGCTGTTTAGGAACTGAGCTGAGCTGTAGGGGCGATTTTCACTTTTGCACTCTTGCAGACTCAGTTTCTCCTTGTCTCCCTGTGGCCACATGTAGCTTCTCACAGCTTCTTCTGATTTGCTGGTGCAGTAGAACAGAACCTGCTGCTCCATAACTAGCCACTCCTTCATCTTCACCAGCATCCTCTCTGAGAGTGGAAAGTGTCAGGTCTGGCAGTGAAAGATCTGAGAAATGCTGGGGCAAGGTAGTTAAAAGGAATCTCCTCTGAAGGGGAAAAGTTTGCTCTTGCCCGCCCTCAAAGACTGCTTTTATGTACTGCAGCCTACACTGGGAGAGAAGCTCCATTAAAATCAAATCACAACTTTATTTTTAGCGCTTGACGTATTCTCTTTTCTCCATGCACATTTCCATTCCCTTTTAATTCATGAAGCTCCTGGCCTCGGTTGCCTCCGGTGGGAAGGAAAAGCATTAGGCAGTTGTATGCTGTAGGAAAGGATTGCTTTTCACCTTTTTGCCTTTCATTTTCAACAGATGCCCTCCTGCTAATGTATGATGAGAAATAATGAACAGGATTCACTTTCTTTGGTGCCATTCATTATTTTGAACACCTTTATATTTTCCCTTCTCTGAAGTGAACAGGTTTGATTTTACTATTCATCTAGAAGGTTTTCATGCCTCTAATTATTTTCATTGTCATATCTGAACTTGTTTCATTTCTATTTTGTCCTTATCCAGGTATCCAGAACTGATCACAATGCACTGTTTGGGTAATAAAAAGTATTTTCAGTATTGTTTCTCTGTTCCATTCTTTTTTTTTTTTTCTAACTATTCCTTTTTTTAGCACTGAAAGACATCTCTGACAAAATGCCTACAGTGACACCCAAGTGTTTTTGTGACTCTTGGCAGTTAAATTTAGAAGCCTGAAAATGCAGTTCCTATTCTTCTTCTCGGAAGGCACCATCTTCTGTTTGAAAATGCTGCATTCATCCGTGATGGCATCTTCCTTTGCTGATATCTCATTCAAGCTCCTCTCTTGGTTTACTTGAAGATTTTGCCTTCCACCATTTTTATTCTTCTGTTTCTTTATTGATTTTCAAACTTTCTTAGCAAAAAATCTGAAGTCATTTGACTGTCCATAACTGTTTTGTATCTGCATTTTATTCCTCTTCATTCCGAGAGCCTGAGTTTATCTGCCCTTGTTAGAAAATAACTTATCTTGTACTTTTTTGAACTATAAATTTTTAAATTACTTTAAATCCAGGTCAGATCAAGGCATTACCATGATTTATTAGTGGGTCTGAAAATCTTTGGCTTAACTAGTCTGTTCTTACAGCAAAACCACTTCATCAACTAGGATAAATCACTAAGGTTCACTCAGAAGCACTGCTGCTGATGAGCTCATCAGTCATACAGGCTGCAGAAGGCCATGGTGCAGCAAATAATAATAATAATAATAGATTGATAATTTGTGGATTCTTCTTTTTCATTAGACATACTGACCTACAAACAAGGAGAACAATGTAGCTGTATATTTCATGATTACATCAGCTACCAAAAGGGCAAATTGGCTGATCAGAAGAGTTTACAAACTTTCTGGGTTTTGTTGGGTTTTTTTTTTAATAAAAATGTTTATCCAGGAATTGCTGAATTTTCATGACTGACATGATTATCATGTCAATCTCATGACTGACAAACAGCAACAAATTAAAAATGTAATTATGTAATTTTAAAACATTTGGGAAAAAAACCCACAAACTCCTGTTTCTCCTATTTGAATTGGCAGTTTCTGACTTGCGGACTCTGTTTCCAGAGCAACAGCTGATAATATAACAAACACTGAAGGAAGCAAAAGAGAGAATCCCCTCTTCTATTTTAGGCTAGAGTTATGTCCTTCCGTTATTGCTAAGGAAATGAGGAGTATGTTGCACTTCAATAAGTACATCACGCATCTCTGCATGAAGAGCCTTTGCAGCGTGTTTGTTACCGGGTGTCTGCCAAGAGATGGAGCTGCAGAGTCAGACACCTACCAAACCTGACCCCGTGTGTCAGGAGCGATACAGTAAAACCCTCCGCAGCAAAAGCCTGTAGCCTTTCATACCGATGCATGTTACTTTTCTGTCCAGTGATGACAGACTTGTTTTGGGAACTTATCCAACTCTCTCCAATCTATTCCAATTTATTTTGTTAAGCTGTGGTTCGGAAAAGCCAAAAAACAAACTATATTAATCTTGGTGGATCCCGGCTTCTGGTCAGATAATTTTATAGAGAATGCTCAGTGGTCCCACAGTTGATCACTAAAAGGATGAACATGGCTGCCCTCTTGGACTTGCCTTCAGATCTCTGTTCCTTACATAAACCCCTGTAAAATGCTGCTAGTGGTGCCTTGCTTTTACTCAGCAGGTAATTTTCTGGGCCTACCTTCACAATTTGGGTGTTGCTAAAAACCTTGTCTCTGTTTCTAGCCACCTGCAGTGTGAGACCGAAGGCAGTAAAGAGATTCCCAAGCCAACAGAGACCTGAGTTTGTCAGTCTGCAAGCTGTCCTGCCCACATGGATTTATGGGCTTAGCTCTGGAAGCTGTAAACCTGTGTTAGTACAGTGCGTAGCCAAGTATTTTTGGAGCAGACCTTGGGTTCAGCTCTGGGTTAATGCACTGATCTGGCGTCTCCAAGCCAGCTCCCAGCCACACCGTGCTCCTGTCCTTCCCGTCCCAGCATCGTGGTGGGTGGAACAGATATAGGTTTGTATGTACCTGCCTGTAAGATACCAGGACTGCCTGGAGTTATTTTGGGATTAGGTATAGGCATGGAGAGGCTGCTGAGCTAATTGGGCTCCCACTCCTATCCGAGCCCCGGGGGGATTCTGAGAATAGATGTTCCTGCAAACCAAGTCACTCCAGTCTCTAGATCTTCACACAACACGTCTGCCACATCAGTTCTTGTGCAAGTGAAGCGCTGGGAAAGGGCAAGAACGGACTTACTCAAGTACCCTCTTGTGCCCATGAGCAGTCAGGGCATCCTCTGGTTTAAAATTTGTGTTCTGCTTAATTTGCTTAATTCAAAGGCCTTGTGTGTATTGATTCTTTTGCTGAGAACCAACAGCTTATCACTGCATAAATTCTCTCCTAGTTACACTCCAAGGTGGGGAAGGAAGGGAGACAGGGAAATGGGTGAAGGGAGGTGAGTCTGCTTCTGTCTTTGACCTGCACTGCAAACCTTGGGTCTGAGCAAACCAGTTCTGCAACTTGCTTCCAATAAGGGTTCCATTCTTTGTGTTAAGTGGTATGTCAATAAGAGAGAGATTCAAAACTAAATAGAATAAAGTCCAGTTGTCTGTTTGCTAAATAGGATTGAGAAAAATAATTTTCCCCTGTTTTTTCATGGGAAAAGGCTGACCTGGTTTATATGCGTAACTCCAGCAGAAATATCTTGGCTGGGAATACTGACCAGAGTGAGGGATTCAAATATTACTGGGGATAAGGAGCAGCCCCTGGCTGACAGCATGAAAATTTAACATTGCAATCCCAAGGTCTCCTTGAGTTTTAGACTACAGAAAGCTTGGTTAAATATGTTTTAACCTGAGCTCCCAGTGAAAAGCCTGTTTGTCAATCTGTCTGTCGTTTGCTGATTGGGTAGGGAAGGAA